ATATTCTTTTTTCTGTGGTTTTAACATCTGGCTGGTCACTTTTGCCTTTATATTTAACTAAGAACAAAAGGGAAATAACCTAATTTATCTTGGTGACCCTCTGGTTTCAATTGCTCATTTTACATTTAAAAACTGGAGGCCCAGTGCATGAATTCGTGCACGGGTGGGGTCTGGCCAGCCCCAATCAGGGCGGATCAGGGCCAAGCCTGTTGGGAGGAGGAGACAGCAGGAGGTTGGCCAGCCAACCTCTGACCGGGCCGGGACACCATCATACATCTGCCATTTCCTTACTTTGTCATTTTCCCCCTCCCACAATGGGACCTTCTTAAACAGTGGTTTTATAATGCTATCCTATCATTTACATTTCCTGGCTATTTCCAACCAATGAATTAATTTTTTAATGAAAGAAAAAGATTGCCAAGTGTACATAATTAAATTCTCTGGGAGACACAAGAGTGTTAGCAAATAGAGATACCTATGAGTTGGGTCATGAAAACATATAATTCCTTCTATGGATAGAGTCATTATTTAGAAGTGATGGCTCATCTCCAATAACTAAATAGAGAAACATATTTAATTGATGCTCCTTTATTTACTGGGAAAGTATCTGCAGCATAAAAATGCTTTCAACAATGTACTTGATCTCTATATACCTAAGCTTGATATAATAGAAGAAGATATGTAGACAGATAGATACTAGTAGTTATCCATTAATGAGTCTTTATATATCTATATCTATATATATATATATAGATAAATCAGGGCGGATCAGGGCCAAGCCTGTTGGGAGGAGGAGACAGCAGGAGGTTGGCCAGCCAACCTCTGACCGGGCCGGTTCGCTGGCCATAATGGGCATCATAGCGACTGGTCATTATGGCGTCTGGTCGCTGGCTTTTTATATATATAGACGATAGAGTGTTTATGATGCTGTCTTTTCCAGGAGAAGAAGTTGACAGACAGCTGTGCAGAGATGCTATCTTCCCCATCCCTGTCGCCTGTTATGCCCCGTGCCCAAGGGACTGTGTGCTCACCATGTGGTCTGCCTGGTCCTCCTGCTCAAACACCTGCTCAGGGAAAACCACAGAAGGGAAACAGATACGGTCTCGGTCCATTCTGGCTTATGCCGGTGAAGAAGGTAAGGTTACCAGGTTCAGAAGGCACTTGGGTTCCTTTCAGAAGTTGGCATGCATTTTCTTTGTCTTGCCTGGATAAGATGATGTCAGAAAAATCAACTTCCAAAAATCCAGCAATCCAAGGGGATTTTATATGTGTTAACATACCTGACATCTTGCTTCTGATTCGGGTTGTTTTCCTGAACAGGATGCAAGGGTGATTTCTTTCTCAGGTCCTTGTCCAGATGGATTCGAAGACTGAAGCACTGGATAAGAGGTGGTAGATGAAAAAGGTAGAAATTTATTGGAAGCAAATACAGACTCCCAGGTAGGGAGGGGGTCCCAAGAGGGTAACCCACTAAGCTCTTTGCTGCTAAGGTTTATAAAGGCTGTAGTTCTTTATCTCAATGGGATGTTCCCTTCTCATCGGTCACTCTTTTGCAGAATATCAGCTTCAAAGCCCAAACCCCACATGGTGCCCCCCTTATTCTCTCCCGCTTCAGTGGTAAAATTCTCTATCTCCTGTGAAAATCTGTTTTTCTTTCTCCCATTTCTCAGCATTTCTCTATCCTCTGTGAAAGTTTGTTTCCTTTCCCCCCATACTCTGTGGCTTTTCCTTATCTTCTGTGAATGGAGGTCTTTCTCTCCCCTTATCCTGTGGCACCCTTTTTTTTCCCTCTGAATGTATGCCTTCTGATGGCTCCAACCCCTCATCTATGCCTTCCTTCCCCATGGACCCTCTTTATTCAGAAATCTCCCTAAACCTGCTATTTTATCGCTAAAACCCCTTTCACTTCTGTTCCCCAAAATTAATCTTAAAAGCAAATCTATACTAATAAAAGGGTAATATGCTAATTAGAATGGATAGACCAGACATCTTCCGGACATCCTTCTGGACAAAGCCACGGGGTGGCGGGGGCTGGGGAAGAGGCAGTTAGGGGCAATCAGGCCAGTAGGGTAGAGCAGTTAGGGGCAATCAGGCTGGCAGGGGAGAGCAGCTGGACATGCCCTAAAGGGTCCCAGATTAGAGAGGGTGCGGCCTGGACTGAGGGATTCCCCCCACCCTCCCATGCACGAATTTCATGCACTGGGCCTCTAGTCTTTAATAAAAGAAGAAAGATTTTTAAACATGAGCTCACTTTCCCTTTTTTCCTACCTAATAATTCAAATTCTTTCCAGTTCAAAGCATTAAACTTGTAAAAATGGCTCCCACAATTCCAGATGTGGTTTTTCTCTCTTTCAGCAGTCAGTTTTTCTTTTTGAAATCACACTCCACCTTCTCATAAATAGGCAAATATATTCAACTAGAGGCCCAGTGCACGAAAATTTGTGCACTGGAACATTAGCAACAAAGAAACAGGATTTCTGGAGGATGAGGCCTAGAAATCAGGTTTTTAAAAAGATTCCCAGGTGATTCTAATGTGCAGGCAAGGTTGAGAACCACTGATCTAGAATATAT